ATTACAAAGTTGAAACATATCAGAAAATCTGCACTGTTTCGCTATTTGTAGTATATGTGCTAGCAGTTCCAAAATCTTCTGGTTCTCTTCAGCTCAGGATCCAGCTCTTCGCCTATAGCGGCAGCTTCTTGAGATAGGTCGACCAAATACTGTGCGATTCCCCTAGCATGCCCCAGGTAACAAGTGATAAGGTCTTCTCCTCCTTGGCTCTCGCCTGCGCTCGCTCCCATCGAAAACGCCACTGAGTATCCCCCTCATAAGGAACTATCGATAGCTCACTTGATTGCCTCTGGAACCCCCGAACCATGACTTCGAGCTCACTTACTTGCTTCTTCAGACTTTCGACTACTCCACGACTCGAGCTACCCTCCTGTTCCGGTACCGTTGTAATGCAGCCTCTAAACTCGAGATCTTCCCTTTCAAATTCTCACTCTGGGCTTGACTTTCTTGCAATCGCTGCTCTAAACAACTTTTTCCTTCGACAAATCCTTACCTGATGTCTGCTTTGCTTGAGTTCTTCCTGACTCTCCCGGCTGCCCTCTTCAAGCTTGCCACTTCCCGTCTCCACTCAACAGATGATTTGCTTGAACTGGAAGCTGTCTGATCTTTCATCATTCGCTGGTAAGTTGATTGAAGATCGTCAAAATCTAACGAAGTTGCTTCTCTGTCTTCAACTCGATCCGCTCTACTTTTTTGAATATCGATCTCCAACCCTTTTTGATACACCTCATATCTTTTTGCATAGTAATTCTCCACTGCCTTCTCTCTGCCTCAAAATCGCGCTTAGCTAGCTCTAATGGAGATGGTACTATCCTCAAATGTTCTTCCACAGGTTGAATGTTTTCAGGATTCACCACGGACATTGTCGTTTACTCGATTGCTTCTCCACTGCTCGTAATCTCGTGATGGCTCGAGATCGTAGGTGAACAAATTCACACGACGAGTCTGCTTCCAAGCTTCAGCAACCCTCTGACTTTGTTCTTGTATTGATCCCCCTTGAATGCAAAATCTACCCTAACAAGTCCCTCGTAGCTGGAATGAACTGCCTTGACCCATATTGTCTGGAAACCAACAGAGGTGCATATCCAACAGAACCCCATATACCTGGCAAAGGGACCCAATCCCGCTCTCCACACCGATAAAGTATGTCTGAAGTAACATTCCAGAAGCTCGCCATAGAACATCACCGTCTCTGATATCTTTGAAGATTACCATCCATTTTCTTCGGTAAAACTCCAGGCCAATCTTTTGAAAGGAAATCTTTCAAAGGTGAAAACCCGTCTAGAAACACTCGTCCTCCGCCCTCTCGACGTGCTTGAATGATTGAGGATCCACACTAGCAGTAGGGGTGCACATCCTAAAATGTCCTTCTCCCTCTCGTCTGCAAGAACTCAAAGAACGAAATGTCTCTGCTAGGATAGCGGAACAGGATCCACATGCTTGTCCATCTTTCGAACAGGTCGCCACTGATACGTCTATGTATCCTAACACCTTGGGGAAGATAACAAGCCCATAATCCCTAAAGCAAGTAGGTCAAGCTTCTTTCTTTGATCAGGATGACGATTGATTATTCCTTCAGAGCGGACCAAGGAAAGCATTCACTGTCCCCTTTCTTCTTATATTTTTACAACCCATCCTCACTCATTCCAGTGATCGATAGCAATTTCTTGAAACGAATGAGTGACGGGGGCTTGGTATAGACCCTATCCGCTTGAGCTCTCGAACACCGGAGCAAAGCTTGATACTCTTCTATTGTTGGCGTCACATCACTCTTCCAAACGTAAAACAGCTGTAACCGGGATTCCAGAACTGCGCCAGGGCCCTAAACAGATTTCGATCGATTGGAACATCCAGAAGGTAAGATATGTCGCCATACAACTGATAGAACATCTCTTGATCGGCTGCTTCACATCTCCCAAATTTCCTGGAGCTCATTCAAATCATTCTGACGCACATTGACGTGAGTGTAGCTAAACAACTCCGACACGTAACCAAGCTTCAAACTATCTTGTTAATCAACTGGGATTGCTCCGACCATCTCAAAACCTCTGCATTGTCTTCAACCTCTTTGTGAACCTTTCGTTCCATATTCTGGCCTTCTAATGGACATCGATCCCCAAATCAACACATGAATGGATAATGCAATGCAAAGCAAAAGGAATAAACCAAGGCAAGAAAATCAGTTAGTAAACATTAGTCAATTAATCAGGGATAATTGTTAAAGAATCCTACCCTCACATGCTGGCTACCCAATCATTCTTTATCATTTCCTACCCACCATGATATCTACCCCCATGCTTTACCTGAACATCACAACCTAGCCGCATGATATCTAATTTAACCTAACCACATGATCTAGTTCGCATGCGTTTATTCACAGAAGAAAATAAATGACCCAAAAAGCTTCCTTGTGTACACTCCTCACGGGATTCTTAAGGTTCGGTTAGGCTCAACCTAAGTTCGGGCTCTATATTCACTACATGTCGGGTTAGGTTGTAAAGTAATAGGTTCTCGAATTGTCCTTGTCGGTGCCCCCTTGGGCTGCCGAACCCTCAATCCTGGCCCATCACAGGCTTTAGTGGATCGAGTTCAATTTCGAGGGAACACCTCCTTATGTCCATGCGGAGGTGAATACCATCACGAGGACCATAAGGCGTGAGCTCCAGAAGTGATCCACTATCCCATGCGGAGGTGAAAACCACACGAGGGAGTAGTCTCACTCCTACTTAAATAGGACAGAGCGGGGTTTTAGCTCATGTTATGCAAATGCAACTGTGCCGTGTGTGAGGAAAAGCAAAAAACAAACACAGAATCACAAAACATTCCAAAATCAATCCTCTTTAAAACACATAAATAATCTGAAACCAACAACAAACAGATCATTACAACTATTCGTTAGACAAAATATGAACAGAAAGGTACTGAAACCAAACACGGGATCAAAAACCAACTTAAAACGAATTTATAACTTTCATTTGCAAAGACAATTAATTAATCGACTATAGGCCTGACTCTCTAAAAAAAGTCCCCAGCGGAGTCGCCAAGCTGTCGAAACGATTTTTTCTTAAGTGTGAGAAAAGGGTGAGATTTTAAAAACCACATTATTCTAATTATCTCTTTTAAAAACAAATGCGATTTAAAAGACCTCTCGTTTCGAAATTTTTAGATTTCCTTTACGATCGAAAATACAGTTCAAGGAGTCGCCACCAATCTTGATTAGGGTGTGATTGGGCACCCAAAAATGCCTTGTCATTTTAAATAAAAATTAATTTTAATTAAACAACAAATTGAGGTCTGCGTTTCCAAAATCTGAGTTCGGGAGTCGGTTACGTGTGGGGAAGGATTAGCACCCCCACAACGCCCTAAATCGGTACCTAGTCGATTAATTAACGTTTTTGCAATGAACTTTACAAATTCGAACTTAATTTAATTTTTGATCCCATAAAACAAAAATGTAAATTTAAAACATTCAAAAACACTCAAACAAATTAAATGAAAATTACCAAGTCATTTTAGAAAGATAAAGAATGTTCGATTATTTATAAATATCGAGACCAGATCTTAAGATATAACACCTTTTCTCGATATATTTAAATAAACGAACATTTCTTTTTCTTCCGTTCCCAAATTTTAAGGTGATAAATCAATTTCTTAGGTGCCACTAATGGGATACACTTTTAATTTAAAATCGTCGAAAGTGGATATCTAATCAGTTAAGACAACCCACTTGAAACAATTTTAAATTAAAAGGATATTACCCTTAATCCAATTATGTAATAATGTCGAGTCATGCTTATGAGGATATCATACATAAACTAGTTAAATAATACAACTCATTCGAATAAATATTTAAATCTAAAAATGCACATATAATTATATATTAAACAAATAAACCTACTATGTTAATATGCAACAAATATTTTCTTATGTCTAATCATTTAATAACTGCAAATATAATATTTATCTCATTTACTTAAGGTTGAAAATAAAATAAAAATTGCATAACATACATACATAAAAATGTACATACCATACATAAAATAGTAATACGAATGTCATTACTTATGGACAAAAATTAAATCTACCGCTAAAAACCCAATTCTAAATTTAATGCTACCATATAGGACTAAAATGACAAACACTAAAGCTAGGCAACCAAATACAAACTGATCAGTAAATTAATCAAAACAACTAGGATTGAACTACCAAATACCAGAAATTATAAGCTAAATGTGAAAACAACTAAAAAGGGAAAATAACATAGGCTGAGGACTAAAACATAACATGTTTACAATACACAGACCAAAATACAAACACAGAAATTTAGGACCAAAACAGAATGCTCGAAAAATAAGAAGACTAAGTTACTAATAAACAGATTACATTCAAGGACCAAAACAAAACAGTTTCAAAACTGAAGGATCTCGTACCAGATTAACCCAACTATCCTAAAACGCGGCGTATCACTCCCAGACTCAATGCGCTGCCGTTTTGGAACTACACGAACGACGCCGTTTTGGCGTTTTGGATATATGGAAACAAAGGGTAAGTTTTAACCCTAATCCTCATTCATCCTATCTCTAAACAGCTGAAACCTCACCCCGTTTTCTCTCAACCTCTTTCCTCTTCTTCTTCAACCCTCACCGAAGCCCCCAACCGCCGTGGCCTCCGCCGCCTAAGGGCTCCGATGAGGAGCCTAGACGTCACCTGACCCTTTGCCGACCAAACCCAAAACCAAAAGGGGTAAAAACAACCCTAACCTCACTGCCACACCACACGACAACCGTGGGTTTCCCCTTTCTCACTCGTCTATTTACTTAAAACCCAGGCCTCCACCACTTAAATACTCCGACGAGAACCCCCATGTCCTGACTCAGAAACCCCAACTAGATCTAGCCTTTTAGAGACCTACGACCCACGAATAAACACGAAAACAAAACCCTACATACCCTACATACCCTACAAACCCTTGACGACCCAACGTGGCTCGGGCTTAGGCGATGGCGACGTCTGCTCTTCGACTAAGGAAGGTGAAGGTTTTTTTTTGTTTGCTTCGTCTTTTGTTGACTGATATGCTAATGGGTTTTCCGACTCTGGTTCTGGATTTCTCCTGTTTCGTGGTCCTTTTGATGGTTGGTTCTCTCCTTCGTGATGACTGGTTCTCTCGATGATCCCTGGTTTGGTAATTATGTTTTTTGGTTTTGTGCTTTTTTTCTTCGATAATAGCTGATGGGTTGAGCCCCTTTTTTTTTTTGCTTGGGTGATGACTGATAACTCCCAGGACCCCAAAATCCCCCCCTCTGGTTTCATTTTCACTGCTATTTCTAGTTGATTTTTTCTTTCTGTTTTTTGTGCCTTCTGTTCTGCTTCTTGTTTCGTGTGTTCGCAGGGCACTGGCGAGAGCAGATCACGGGCGGCAGCTGTGGGTAGCTGAGCCATTGCTCGGTTGGTCGTGCGCTATCTGGAAATGCGGTGGTGGCTTCACGTGAGTCTGCAGTCGGCTCGGGAATCACAGGGGGCTGGGAACCGTTGGATCGTGGAGCCAGATCCAACGGCCTTCCTGCTGCGGCGCTAGACATAGGGCAAAAAACCCTAAATCACTCACCATTCATTTCCAACCGTTAGATGAGAGCCTCAGATCGTGCGGTTCAGACAAGGTGGCGCTATGAGCTTCTTCAGTAGAAACCCTAATGGGTTTAGTTTTGCAATTGGGCCTGTCTGGTCCAGCTTGTTTTAAGTTGATGTAGGCCTGTACCATTAATGATAATATTAGTGCATTTTAATTATTTATTTATTTAATTACTTAATACATATATATATATATATATTAATAATTACTTATAACAATATTAATAATAATAAATTCGAATTAACTTAGAATAAGACCCCGGACAAATCGAGTATCTACAACAAGTATAGATATTATCCCTATAGTATTGACACTGTACCTACAGAAGTCATAAAACAAGTACGAAAAAACTATATTTCTCAATCTCAAAGACCTTAGTGAGGTATCCAAGCATGCTTAAAGTTTTATTTAATCAACAGGGGTCATAATAGAGGCTTATTAACATGCTTATAACATCAAATGAACAATCTACCATGGAAATTACTAAACATGCTTTAAACTTAACTTTCTAACACATCTTAACTTTCCATGATCTACACTTGGTATGAGAAATCTATAAGTGTGTTACCTTATTGCCTTGGCTGCTGAAACACCTCTTGAATCAACTAGGATTCACCCTACCTTCAAGAAAAAACTATTTTGAAAACTAATTCTAAACTCACAAAATGGTGCTTGAAACAAAGCTTGAAGGATGGAGAAAAACATTCTTATTTTTGCTAAATAAATCTAAGATTGGAATGCTTGAAACTTAACTCTTGAAAGGAAGAAGAAATTGAAACTAATGGAATGAAGAAGAAGAAGAAGAATTGGTGAGATATTATGGGGAGTTTGATTACGTGAAATGATATAAAAAGAGGGGAAAGTTTTCAGCTTCAACAAAATAGGTAAATTACACTTTAGGTCCTTCACCTATTAGCTCACTTTAAAACTATCTCTTAGCTTTAACTCTTGGGCCTACCTCAGGCCCAACATTTATATAACTTGGTCCAACTATTTGGGAAGTCTAATTGGCTTGACGTAAAGGTCTCGGGTTGACCTAAACTACTAACCCATATTTCAGGTATTACAATGCTTAATACAAAATGTGTTTGATTTAATAGTATATAACATTTAATTTTAAATTTGAATATTAATATTATGAATAAAGTAAAATAAATTAAAAGAATTGTCTGGCCCGTATTAATCAATCATGTAAATTGAATACCTATTATTGATGCAAAGGCCGGCAGTAGGTAGCATAAGTTGAATAACATGGATTATAAATAATTGTGGGTGTTTCCTTTTCTTCTACTTTTGCCTTTGCTTTTATCATACTTCTTTTTAATTTCTCTTATCATTTTCCATTTAATGAATTGTCCATCGCCTCCTTAAACGATTCCAAACACATTTTCATAATTAGGCCAAAAGCAACACTTCTTTTTTACTGTTCTTGGTGATAGGTAATATATGTATGCATGGTACGGTCGAGTTATGATTGAATTATTATATATATATATAATCATATTATACAATGTAAAATTCTTTTAGTTTTACATATATTTAAAACTGTTGGATGATTGAAAACAAATAGTTAACAGATTGAGATTAACAGTAGGAAATGAGAAAATATTAACTGGAAAAAAAATCAATCTCAACCATCTATTTTCACCCATCAAACCGTCTTAATCTGTGTGAAACTAAGAAGTTTTACATTGGGTGAGTTAAATATATAGGGATGAACCTAGGTGTGAGGTCGCCCCCTAAAAATATAAAATTATCATATATTTTAGATTTTTTTTACTGAAAATCTGTTTTTGCACCCTAAAATTTTATTCGTCCTTTGAAATTTTATAAGTTTAAGTTCGCCTCCTCTAACTTAAAATCATGCGTCTGTCCATATATATATATATATATATAATTCACTTACACAATGTAAAACTCTTTAGTTTTACATAGATTTAGGACCGTTGGATGAATGAAAATAAATGACTGAGATAAACGCATTGTTTTTTTCCTAGTAAATATCTTCACATTTCCTACTTTTAATCACAGCCATCTATTTTCACTCATTCAACGATCTTAAATTTATATAAAACTAAAGAGTTTTATATTATATAACAATATCATATCTAAAACTAAAGTGTTTTATATTGCGTAACAATATCATATCCCATATATTGTGTGTATGTGTATGTGAATTAAAATCCAATTATATAGTGTAAAACTAAAAAAAATATATATCTTTTTAAAATCATTAAATGAGAGAAAATCAAATGATGATATTAAAATACAATATTTATACATATATACAAATGTTTATATAAATCTTTTTAGATTAAATTAAAAATCAAATAATCTCAACAATTAAAAAATTACTTTTACTTTTATTTTGATTTAGAATACGATGTTTATACAAATGTTTAAAATTTATTAATAAACTATTACTTTTTAAATAAATATTATTTTATAATCATTTAGTTTAATAAAAAATAAATTGAGTTGGATTGAAAAAATGGGTAAAGTGTACATATGATCTTCTGATTATAGGGTACGACTTTATTACGACCATCGATTATTAAAAGTTATAAAATAATTATCTAACTATAACGTGTTCTTTTGTTGAGTCACCCGAATATTAAAAGTTACAAAATGATCACTTGAATGTTTATTATATTATGAACTCCTCATTTTTCGTGAAAAAAATTATTGGTCGTCAGAACTGAACGTTAATATGATGATTGAGATATGATAGTCATTTGAGATTATGAATCATATTTTATCATATCATAGTTAATATGTTAACGTTCAATTTAGAATACCGTTAATCTTCTAACGAAAAAGATGAGTTTAAAATATAAGAATAATTATGTGACTATTTTATAACTTTTAATATCCGATAAACTCAACATAACAATATTTTATAATTAAATGATCGTTTATAACTTTAATAATCAATAAAATTAATAAATAATATCTCATATGAATTGTCCGTCCAGTTCAGTTGGTAAGAGCGCAAGGCTTTTAACTCTGTGATTGTAAGATCGAGTCCCACAATGAATAATTTATAATTCTGACTGCCAGAAATTTTTTACAAAAATTGTTCTCAGCTTGATGTTATGTCAGTCACTATCCTATCTATCCTTAACTCCGTTACATGTGCGAATAGGTTCAGCTAAATATACATTCCCTTAAAAAAAAAGCCAGTTACAACTCGGCTCGTCGCGCGGTCTCGGCCATGGAAAGGGGAAAAAAAGTGATCTTCCAATAATAAGAACTATTTCTTCTAGCTTCTCTCATCCTGTGTTCCTCCTCGAAAAAAAACTTGAATAATCCCCATTTCCTTCAAAAATATAAAATCTTTTGTCGCGATTTCTTTCGATTCACAGTTTACGTTCACTTCCCTTTTTCTGCCGATCGGTTCTATCACTCACTGTTTTTGTTTTTTTTTTTAAAATTTGTTAGTTTGCTCAATTTTATTTTGATCATTTTGATTGTTTTTGTTTAACAAAGTTTACATTTTTTTTTCTGTAAAAATCAGAAGATTTTTTTTTCTACTTTCCCACCTTCTGTAACACTAGGGGTTTTTGATGATCAATTATATTCCTTTTGTTGTTAAGTTCTTATTTTCAGAGGGTACTGTTGGTTTTTTTATTGCTTGGGGATGATGGAGAACAATGGAGGATGATGGAGAACAATGGAGGATCAGTGGATGATCAAGGCTCAGGATGGTTTGAAGTGAAGAAGGTGTTCTTTTCTCAAGCCAATATTATTAAAACCCCTTTCACATTGTCATAATTTGGTGCTTTTCTTGCCATTTTGAGTTTCTTATTTGTTTGGTTACTAGGAAAACTGGGGAAATGGGAGTATTTTGTCTCTTCGTTTCATGATTTGACTTTATTTTTATTGCTGCTGCCTGTTTGAGCTATGCTTTCTGATTTTGATTTCAGAATGGAATGAATATTAGTTTTGAATTGATGTACTTTTTCTCAGCATCCAAACAGTATGCTATGTAATTTATTTAAATGCATATTTATGGTGATTTCTGAGTTAAGATTGATTATAAGGTTACATCATGAGTGAAATGCCCTTTATGTAGCTTCGACAATCAAATTGTTTGATTGTCAAATTATTTGGGTCTATCAGATAAGATTGAGAGAAATATGTTCCAAAAGTTTTCATATGATTTTAATGAAGAATAATTCCAACAATATATGGATGAATGATTATGATAAAAAATAGAGCAGGAGTCTTGGACTTAAAATTTTCTACTATTATTCACTAGTAAAGTTTGTAAACATTGCTTGAACAAGGTATTAATCTTGTCTTGCCCATGTTGAGCCTTTCATTGCAACCCGAGGCTTTGTTTTGCTTAAGTTTATTCTTGAAGTTAAACTTTCAGTTTTATGTTATCGGTATTTCTGGCATAAGGAGATGATCCATCTTCCTTCTCGATTTGCTTGTAGATCAGCTAACAGAAGCATTTTTAGAGAGCTACCTTAGTATTCTAAATGTGTCTCCTAAGACTACGAAATGTTGTTATTTATTAGTGATTTTTTTTACTTCTCAGAAGCACACAGAAGCTGCTCGAAGATTTCCGCGCAAAATTGGGCTGGGGGATTCTCAGCCAAAATTGGCAATAATTTGACGAGAGATCAGCAGTTGTTGACCAAGAAGGGTGGAGCTGTGCAAGGAAAATATAGATCATTGCTTCAATCATCTACGGGAAATTCAGATGTGAATAGCCTGGCTGGTCTTGCAAAGTCAACCACTGCATCAAATGAAGATGAAAAGAACGTTCATTATCTTGATAAATGTGTTCTTAAGCAAAATTGTGAAGGCTCCTCACCCCCCTCTTCTTTTGTCGACAATTCTAACGGTAGCTGCGCAGATAACCCAAAAATTCTATAGAAGGATAAACCCCATACAGTTCACAAAATCAAGTGGGGTGATTTAGAAGACGATGTGCTGGTAGCACACCAAGTAAAAAATGTTGGAGCGGAAATCAGGTTCGGTGATATGGGATATGATAATGTGCCAGGTTGTTCGAAGAATGAAAACACTAGTAATTCAATTTCATGTACCAACCTCCAAGAAAACACAGTAGAAGCATCCATGGATGAAGATGTTCATTCTTGTGAGGTATCTTCATTGACTCCTAAGGATGAAATAATGGAAGAAACATGTAAAGAGATCAATGAAGTATCTTCAGAAGTTGTGGGACCAGAGATTGACAATGAAAAAATAATTTCTACGGATGACGGTTTTAAGGAAATACATACTGGACACATCAAATCAATTGGGAATAATCAAGTAGATTGTCGCCTTCTATCTCCTCAAGCCTCTGGAACAGCAGTTAGACCTGAAGTACCTACTGTAGATAGTGATTCAAGCATTGAGATGGTTTCACCGGATGCAGTGTCACTTCCCCTTGAGAACAGTGGACCCGAAACTTTGAGAGAATCAGTTGCAGATCGTATAGAAGATGGTAGAAAACCTGATCTGTCAAAAGCTCAACTTATAACTTCTCTCGGAGAAGTTGATACCGGAGAAAGCAAAGAAAGGTTTAGGGAACGGCTTTGGTGTTTCCTATTTGAGAATCTTAATAGGGCTGTGGATGAACTTTATCTTCTTTGTGAACTAGAATGTGATGTGGAGCAGATGAAAGAGGCCATTCTTGTTCTTGAAGAGGCTGCTTCTGACTTCAAAGAATTAACTACTAGAGTGGAAGAGTTTGAGAATGTGAAAAGGTCCTCTTTTCAATCGGTTGATGGTGTGACAATTACTTTAAAGAGTGACCACAGAAGACCGCATGCGCTCTCCTGGGAAGTAAGGATACTTTTTTTTTATTTTTCCCATATTATTGTTTGGCATTTAATAATCAGGTTAATGGCAATTTATATCATTCCGTTGGAATAATCTTCAAGCCTGCATTTTACATATGTTGGAACTTAAAATTCATGGGCGCACCTTTCTATATGACATGTACTTGTTGATGATCGTTTTATCTCCTCTTACATGTGTCAACTCGACTGAAATTGAAAAAGAAAAAAGGGCTTTTGTAGTTGCGGAGCCAGGAATGCGTTTTGTGTGTTGGGGGTAGTATATAATTAGGATTGGATTTGCTGAACTTGATATTTGTTTCATGAGGTTCTCTAATGTCATTTTCATGCCATTTAGCCATCTCATAGGGAACACTATTGATACTTACACTTGGTTGCAGGTTCGTAGAATGACAACTTCACCTCACCGAGCGGAGATATTGTCTTCATCCCTAGAGGCTTTTAAAAAAATTCAACAAGAGCGGGCTACCCGACTATCATGCAACGGTATGAAATCCCTGGGGCAGGACAATTCCAATTATGCTTCGACATCTGGTGATAATTTGAAGAAGTCAGTTATGACGTCTGATGTAACATCCAATGATAAAGAACTGGGACTAAAGTCAAGAAAATGCCGTGGAGGTGGAGGTTCATATCCTACTCAAGGGAACCTATATGGAGAGAAACGAAGCTTTGAATCAGGCAAGTCTGGCAAATTAAGCTATGTTCAAAATGGTCGTGACCCACCAAAGAACTATATCTCTTCTGATGTTGCTTCGACTAGGCCATTTCTTAAGGACAATCCTACTGCATCTGTTGCTGGAAAGAGTAGGAGAGAATATCTCAGGTCAGAAACTGAGAGGCTGCTTTCTAGGAAAGATAAAACATTAACAGAAAATATTGCTGAAACAAAACCTAGAAGTTTGGATCAGAGTCAGAGGCAAATTCCTCCTGAAAAAGACAAGGATAAGAGAAACGGTACTTCATGGAAATCCATTGATGCAGGGAAGGAGAAGAGGAACTGGGAAGACATACTTGGGTCTCCTTTCCATATTTCCTCTTGGATATCATACTCACCTGGAATTGGCAAGAAAAGCGCTGAACGTGTACGTACTTTGCACGACAAACTAATGTCTCCTGAGAAGAAGAAGAAAACTCCTGTGGATTTAAAGAAGGAAGCAGAGGAAAAACATGCACGAGCGATGAGGATCCGAACTGAATTGGAGAATGAAAGAGTTCAAAAATTTCAGCGTACCTCAGAGAAACTCATTCGAGTCAATGAATGGCAGGCTTTTCGGACTATGAAGTTACGAGAGGGGATGTATTCCCGTCAACAACGTAGTGAATCACGACATCAAGCATTTCTTGCAGAAGTTGTTAGGAGAGCTGGTGATGAAAGCAGTAAAGTTAATGAGGTTCGTTTTATTACCTCATTAAATGAAGAAAATAAGAAGCTTATGTTACGCCAAAAACTGCAAGATTCAGAGTTGAGAAGAGCTGAAAAACTTCAAGTGATGAAGAGTAAGCAAAAAGAAGATATGGCTAGAGAGGAAGCTGTTTTAGAACGCAGAAAGCTCATTGAAGCTGAAAAGTTACAACGTCTTGCTGAGACTCAGAAGAAAAAGGAGGAGGCTCAATTTAGAAGGGAAGAAGAACGGAAGGCATCAAGTGCAGCCAGAGAGGCCAGAGCCAGAAAGCAGCTTCGGAGGAGGGAGGAGAGAGCTAAAGCTCAGCAAGAGGAAGCTGAACTTCTAGCACAGAAATTAGCTGAAAAACTAAGTGAAAGTGAGCAACGTCGTAAATTTTACCTTGAACAAATACGGGAGAGAGCTTCTATGGAGTTTAGGGATCAGTCTTCACCCTTAATGCGTCGATATGTCAGTAAGGAAAGCCAGGGCAGATCTACTCCAACCAATGGTGTTGAGGATTGCCAAGCAAATGGCAGTGCTATTTTAGGGAACTCTGCACTTGCAACAGGCAACAGTGCTTTGCAACACTCATTGAAGCGAAGGATTAAAAAAATTCGGCAAAGACTTATGGCTTTGAAATTTGATATTTCTGAACCTCCTGCCGGTCCTGAAAATACTGGTTTTGGATATAGAACAGCGGTGGGAACTGCAAGAGCAAAAATCGGGAGGTGGCTTCAGGAACTTCAGAAACTTCTTCAAGCAAGAAAAGAAGGAGCCTCAAGTATAGGGTTAATTACTGCAGAAATGATCAAGGTATGCCATTTTTTAGACCACTATTAAAAAATTATTATCTTAACAATGTATCAACATGTGATGCTTTTTGATGGATTATTATGAATTTTAATGGAATTTCATGGAACCCTTTAGTGGTAACATTCAGAATGTTTTCTTTCAATCATTCTAAGGGATACTTCATGCACTCTTTTGATAGTTGAGAGGATTACAATTATACAAATATACTTTTAGCTTATTCATGTATTTTTTCCGCTGTATGATGTTATGATCACCCGTGTTCTTTTATAAAATATAGTAGCTATAAAAGTTCCTGTTTTATTCAATCTGCAACTATCATTGGAATGGTGGGTGGGGATTGATACTCTCTTCCTAACATATTTCTTACGAAAATTTCATTGTGAATTAGTTTCTGGAGGGAAAGGAACCTGAGCTTCATGCTTCTTGCCAAGCTGGTCTGCTTGATTTTATTGCTTCTGCCCTGCCGGCTTCACATACATCGAAACCCGAAGCTTGCCAAGTGACAATACATCTTCTAAAACTTCTGAGGGTGGTGTTATCAACTCCTGCAAACCAGAGTTATTTTCTTGCTCAGAATCTTTTGCCTCCTATGATTGCCATGCTGTCGGCAGCACTTGAGAACTATATAAAGATTGCTGCATCCTTAAATCTCCCTGGAAGCAGCAGCAACTCGGTCTCTTGCAAAACCTCTCTTGAAAACTTTGAATCAGTGTCTGGAGTACTGGATGGTTTTTTATGGGCTGTCTCCTCAATTATTGGTCATATAAGCTCAGATGAGCGTCAACTCCAAATGCGGGATGGCTTGCTAGAGTTATTAGTTGCTTACCAAGTTATTCATCGGTTCCGAGATCTTTTTGCTCTATATGATAGGCCCCAGGTTGAAGGGTCTCCATTCCCTTCATTTATTCTTTTGAGTATCCGTCTACTGGTGGTTTTGACATCCAGTCCCGGAAACAGTTGCATTAATCGGGAATATTTACCTATTGAAATAGAGCTGGGTAGTGAAAGTCAAGAATCTAAGATTGCAGCATCTGCGGATTCTAGATGTTTCTCCGTAAGTAGCAACACTGGAGACATTATACCTCAATTATGTGCTCTAAGCGGTAGCATTATGGCACCGCTATCTGATGTACCAGAGGATAGACCATTACAGGAACCGTGTAGAATAAGTAAGAATGATAATTTTGTATTCATTGGAAAAGATGGTGAAAAGAAGGCAACCGATAGTTCAGTCGAGTTGAACAATCCTAGCACTTCCAAGGTAGATGTTACAGATGCACCACAGAAGACTCTAGTTGAGCAAAAGGAAGAGAAACGCGTCATAATTTCCAGGGAGGGGAAAATGAATGAAAACACATCTAGTGTGAAACAACCACTGGCATTCCTTCTTTCCGCTATATCGGAAACTGGATTAGTCAGTCTTCCTTCCCTGTTGACAAGTGTGCTACTTCAAGCAAACAATAAGCTACCTTCTGAGCAGGTAACGTCACCACCTTTTGAAAAGTTCTTTCTCCTTCTTTACTTTTAATGTCATTGAATCAAATAATATTGTTTTATGAAGCCTTTTAAGCTTCCAACACATTGTCTCATGTTATATTCAGTATATTTTCTTTTGCACTATGGTTTGGAGCAAGAAAAAGGGATTCATACTAGGTCATGACCAATACAAATTGTTGCTACTTTTTCAGAAGATTAGTATTGGTTTGAGCATCTTTAAAAAAACAATAATATTCGTTTAGCAGTTTTTATCATCATCTTTTCGTGGTTGGACGAGACCTCAATTTATTAATTCTAAATCGTTATACTATGAAATATTTGGAATCGGGATCTTACTAAGGGGTATGGTTTTGAATTGACAAAGTGGTCAATATCCATAGAACTGGGCCACTTATTGGGAAGATGGTTTATTTGTGGTTGCTTAAAAAGAGAACCTTCTACCAGAATATGAAGATTTTATTTTCATGATTAATTGTTGATCCTGTTTCAGGCGTCAAATGCCCTTCCGTCTAATTTTGAAGAGGTGGCAACCGGAGTACTGAAGGTTCTGAATAATTTGGCACTATCGGATATTACATATATACAGAGAATGCTGGTGAGTAAATTTCGTGTACTGGATATTGGCTGCATGATACTTACGATGCAATTTTAACTCTCCTATGTGATTCTCCTCATGTAAAATGATAATTCGGTCTTTTCAGGCAAGGCCGGACCTGAAAATGGAGTTCTTCCACTTGATGAGTTTCCTTCTTTCTTATTGCTCGAGCAAATGGAAAGCAGCTAGTGATCAGGTGATTGATTATGTGCATGTTACCATTTTCTAATGCATGCCAAACCAGCAGGATTCATTCATGCATGGGCATGCATCTTTCGCTAGATGCATGCATGGATTAAAAGATAATGTTCTTCGAGAGTTTGAGTCTCGACGATCATATTCTTAGCACATGTTATTGATTTTATCTCAGATTGGTTTGCTTCTCCTTGAATCTCTGCTGCTGCTTGGTTATTTCGCCATGTTCCACTCTGGGAATCAAGCTGTTCTTCGATGGGGTAAAAGTCCTACGATCCTTCATAAGGTCAGCGATCTCCACAGTTCTTTCTCTCTTATCTTTGGATGTTTATTGGAGGAGCTAACAGTTGAGCTCGAAGGGCACAGGTGTGTGATCTGCCTTTCGTGTTCTTCAGCGACCCAGAATTGATGCCGGTCTTGGCAGGAACACTTCTTGGGGCCTGTTATGGCTGTGAACAGAATAAGGATGTAGTTCAGCAGGAACTAAGTATGGATATGCTACTGTCCTTGCTAAGATCCTGCAGAAACATCTTACCAACCACCAGATCATCCAATTCAAACCCGGAAAATCTCGTAGCAGATGGTTCGAATGAGTGTAACCAGCAGGCCTCCGATTTGAAAAGATCTCAAGGTGATATTCCCCTAAGATCCAGCCGATTTAACACCAGAAACACAAGGGTCTCGGCGGGAAAGGGCAGCTCTGTAGGAAATGGCCTCAAGCTCGGCAAGACGAGAAACCAAAGAGATTGCAGATCAACAAAACATTGTGAAGAAACAACCATTAGGCATAATAATAATAACAACCTTCCTGTTTTGGGGACTTCCTTAATGTTATACTCTAGATTCCCGAGCAGCTTCATCGACAGAGCCGAGCAGTTCTTTTCAGCTGGGATCTCCGACGATGGAACTGTGAGTTAACTAACACGAAAGCGCACTCTCCATATTTGACATTTACAGGTCCTTGGCAGCATAAATTCCAGCGGTCTGACATGAACCCTAAATAACTGCCACAGTTTATCGAGATTTTGTTCATGAAAACATATTAAATGTATAATAAACATTGATCATATTAAAACATATTAATTTTATAAATACATTTTTATATATTTAATATCCAAAACTTTAATTATAAAAAATAACTGTGAAAATGTCAGAAAAATAATATACGTTATTGTAATTATATACAATATCTTAATTTTATCTTTTTTATGGAATTGGTTGCAAGAAATAAATAAGTTAAAATGAAAAATAGGTACGAATTATACTTTTCAGAACAAGATATTATTATACTTTAGTGCAATCGATACGCACATAAACTGATATAAATTTAAATTTGAAATGATTCAATATTTGTACAAGAAAAATGGTTAAATTCTTTAAATATGATGAATTAAGAAAGTTTCTTTACAAGAAGAATTACAATAATAATAATAATAGTAAAATTGTATGTGTTTTAATGCAGGGTTATTCGACGTCCTAAGCCTAATGTCAAGAGATGCAGTACTTGAAATCTGCTCGGCTGCTTGTGATTTTAATTAACATACCCAACACCTCTTTCATGTTTGGTCTATCTTGTGGAGCATCAGCTGTGCATCGGACCCCGATCCGAAGCAGCTCGAACATCTCATTGGCACCAACTGATAGTCCCGATCCCAGAAGCATAACCGGTACAACGGCTCTACCTAATCTGCATCGTCCATTTCCCATGACACGCTTGGCCCATTCCACCAGGCATTCGTCACCCCCATCCACGGCTCGTCGGCCAGTCGCGAGTTCCATTGCTAACACCCCATAGCTGTACACATCTCCTTTTGTTGTAGCTTGCCATGTCTGCCCGTATTCTGGTGCTACATAACCGATAGTTCCCGCAACCATTGTGCTCACATGGCTATCGCCGATATCAACAACTCTAGCGAGACCGAAATCCGTGACTCGTGCCCTACCATCTTTATCTAACAGGACATTGCTAGCCTTAACATCCCTGTGAACAATGGCAGGGTAGCATTCATGATGTAGGAACACTAATGCTCGTGCAGTATCGACCGCGACGTCAATCCGTTTCTGCCATGTTAACCGTACTCGGTCCGATATAAGATCTTCCAAGCTCCCACCTTCCATGTATTCATACACCAATGTTTTCTCTAGTCCATGTAGGCACCAACCATAGAGTGTTACAAGGTTAGGATGTGGCCAACCAAAGTTATTGCCACTGAGAACTTCCATTTCAGCCTTGAACTCCCTTTCACCTTCGATTCCTTCTCTTTGTAGCTTTTTCACCGCAACTTCTCTTCCGTCCGGCAATACACCTCGGTACACCGTTCCGAACCCTCCTTTTCCTATAATCCTTTCGTCTGAGAAGTTGCTTGTAGCCCTCAAAATGTCGGCATGTGTGAAACCTGTTTTGTCCAATTGGATGACCTTGATGGTATCTGATGATCCGCCAGAGCTAGATGCTAGATCATGTCGATACTTTGTATCATTTAGAAGATATCGCTGAGGTTCAGATCTGGAATTCACCATTCTGCATACCACAATCGATACGACCCCGAACACGAAAGCGGTCAGAGCGAGAGCTACCGATACCATAAGCACAGCAAATCTGGCAGATCTATTCTGCCTTCCATTATTGTCTGGTAGGTGAACTGTTCCATTGTCAATGAAATCCGGAACATCCAATAGTGGATTTCCCAAGTATGAGTATCTCTCGAACGTAGCGAATTGTCCAGTACTCGGAATTACCCCGGAAATGAGCCGATTGTACGAAATGTTGAACTTGTTGAGATCAGTCAGGTTGCTGAAACTTGTTGGAAATATGCCAGAGAAGTTATTGTATGACAAATCAAGGTTCTGCAAGCATTTGACATTGCCAATCTCGACTGGAATTTGTCCCGAAAACTCATTTCGGGTGATATTCAGGACAACAAGAGGCAACTGACCTATCTGTGCAGGCAGTTCACCACTGAATTCATTGAAACCTAAGTGCAGCATACTGAAATTCTGCATCATACCGATATCGGAAGGGATTGTCCCCGAAAACCGGTTGCCACTGAGTTGAAGGTATCCCGAGATTTGAAATGTCCTAACCATTGAACCGGTTGTGCACACCGGGAAAAGACCGTAGCCTTTAAGCAACCGATCCCATGTGCTCCTGCAACTCTTCCTAGTGAGAATTGTATACACAAAACTGAAAGGCGGATAGTCTGCTGGTATCCATCTCCTCATTGCCGAGCACTCACCTGAACCGGCAATGATCCCTTCATTGCGCAGCCGATTCAACTCGAAAGTACGGGTAGCATTTCGTCCAATCTTCGTCAACTCGGGAGGAATTCTTCCAGAAAGTTGATTGTTGGCAAGGTTCAACCATAACAAGCTACTGCAGTTTCCAATCTCCGGAGGAATCACGCCACTAAGAGAGTTGTTTGCAAGCATCAACCATAAAAGAGAGTTCAATTTACCAAGCTCGGGCGGGATCGATCCCGAAAGCCGGTTGAAGGACAGATCAATAGTCTGTATGTTTGGCAAGTTTCCATATTCAGGTGGTATGCTACCATTAAACTGATTGTAAGCCAGCATCAAATAATTCAAGCTTGGCATTTCAGAGATTTCAATAGGCAATGGACCAGAGAAACAATTATTACTCAGGTCTAAACGAGAAATATTCGGTAACGTTAGAATACCGGACGTATCGAACCCGCCGGTGTATGAATTTCCATGTAGTAACAGAAACTTAACTGGTTTGAATCTCCCAAAAATCTCTTGAATCTCCCCACCAAATTTGTGATTGCTCAAGTCCAAAAACTCCAAATTCGTCAAGTTCAATAGCGATTCCGGGATCGAACTCGAGAAACTGTTGTTCCCCAAGAACAAGCCTTGAAGACTCGAAATCGATCCCAATTCTGGTGGAATGGACCCATTGAACTTATTTCCACCTACATTCAAGATAGCCAAATCCTTGCAATGTGATATCTCCCCTGGAAGTTCACCATGAAAATTGTTTTCAGACATGTCTAAAAGCTGCAAACTACAATTACCTGCAAACATAGATCCCGAAATCGTCCCAGAAAAGAAGTTTTCCGACACCGAAAACTCAACAAGCCTTCGAAATCCACCCCATAAGTGACCACCAAAGTTGTTGGAACTCAAATCAAGATACCTGAGACCCAAACATCCATCAAAGCAGCTTTCAATCTCACCAGTGAAGTTATTAGTTGAAAGGTTTGCAACTATCAGATTCTGGCAAATTCCCGGGAAAACTCTGATATCGCCGTGAAACCGGTTCACCGATAAATCGAGCATTTCTAAACGACTCAACCCTTTAAGCTCCAGCTTTCCATCAAGGATATTACGTGACAAGTTGAGGTACACAAGGCTTTCGCATCGACTCAAATCATCCGGTACAACTCCGCTGATGGTGTTCCTCGAGAGATCGAGGTGGTGAAGCTCTGTCAAAGCTGAGAAATTATTGAACATTTCACCAGAAATGTTGTTTCCAGACAGGTTTATACCGATGACTCTTTGTTGTCCGGAACAAGAGATTCCGGGCCATTGACATGTCGGAATTGAATTACCGACATCCCATTCCGAATATCTTCCTCGATTTACTCGATTGTGTGCCTCCAGAAATGTTTTCAGATTCAGCAGAACTTGTCTATCTGTTTCTAATGAATCTCCATCGACAACATTATCTGTGTCAATCAAACAAACTCACAGAATCAATTTCTCAAACATAATATGTGACATGAAAAAATGCAGTAAGCCGACGAATCATCCTCGGAAAACATAAAACGAATTCATTAACCGGAACACGCTCATGCATAAGCTGTCGCCATGAAAGAATTCCAAGCACGCATGATGAGAAAATTCAGTGTCAAAAACATACCTGAAATCGTAAGGATTAAGAATATGAACAAATTGAAACGCCATGAAAGAGCTTGGTCTGTGATCTTCTTCTTCATAGTTCTTTTTTTTTCAGCCAATAACTTTAACGAGTTACTTAATCAGAGACCCATCGGATGAAATCATTTGAAGAAGGAGATAAATGAAGTTTGGAGTTGAATTAAGGCCAAAAACAAATCATGTGAAAGAATAAAAGTTGTAAACGTATTCGAAGAACTAAAAAGTCAGTTGAAGAACACAACGCCTACACTTAAAGACCAGAGACCAAAGCTTGGACGAAACGTTTGCCAACGGTATTTTTGTCAAAGGTTTTCTTTTTCTATTAGGGTAAACTACATAAATACTCCCTTAACATTTAGATATCTTTCGTTTTAGTCACAAAACTTTTAAAACTTGCAATACATTCATTGAAATCTTAATTCTCTTTGCCTACGATCACTACTACCAACAGTTTACGTGTCAATTTGAAGTCTAAAACATCTTACTTTTATGAGAAAAATTATAAATTCTTAAAAATCTTAAACTTCAAAACTAATCTTTTTCTAAATTGACAATCACATCTCTAATGTCGTTATTGTCCGACGTTGCTTCGATTACTGTCACAGCTATTCATCGTCTTCTTCGAAATGATTTTATTTCAACTGCTAACATGCATTAATTAATCGAAGTTTACACTTGAAGTGTATCAATGGTTCTGAGATTTCATATATTTGAGACTTAATGAGCATGAATTCTGATATTTTGCAGATTTAAGGCTTAATGAATCTGGATTTCATAATCCAAATCATTGTATTATAAAATTTAAAATTTAGTGACCAAAATATAAATACTCTAAAAGTTTGGAGACTATTTGTATAATTTACCCAACATTAATAAAATATTTAATTTGTAAGTTAATTTTCTTTGAAAGTTACATTTTTTGAGAGTGAACTGATTGGCTTTAAATTAAAGATTTTGAAGTTGATTTAGATCAAATCTGTACTTTATAATTAATTTTCTAATTTTTATATTTTATTACTTTATAACATATTAACTATTTTTTATAATTTAATTAACTTTTCTATTTTTATAAGATTTCATAATGTACATTTTATTTAACCTTGTACAAAAAATATAATATAACGATTATTTAA